TTTTTCAAACAGGAGCTGGATGAAAAATTCTAGAGATGATTTAAACTTATATTTCTTCTTTAAACAATGATTTCTTAAAATTCCCAATTCATACTTTCTAGATTCTATGTCCAGAATGACTTAAATACACATTAGTCACAAATAGGTTTCATTTGAGTCCAGCTGGAATCCATCATCTCCCAGGAAAAGCCATTTAAATAGGGGATGGAGGGTGGAATTTTCATTCTCTTTCTTTGTCTCTTCCAAATTATTTCACATATTTACCCTTTTTTATATTATAATTTCAGAGAGGAAACATTATTCTATTCTATTCTAAACATATATTTCTCCTTTTCCCAAATGCATACACACAAACACACTCTCACACACAAACACCTTATATTTCTAGGATAGAAATACACAGTGTGCCACAATTGCTCTATTTCCCTAATAATTGCATGAAATACAAAGGACAATTTTGTTCCACAGTATGGCCAGAAGGTAGTCAAGTTTTCTTGTTAGTGGAATACATGTATGACATCATCAAATGAAATGTATATTTGAGTGGCAAACAAGTAATCCACAGAAAACCTATGACTTTATAGTATTTTGGTAAGCTTTCAGAGTATATATTTTACTTCCAGAGTATGTATGAATGTGTCTTATTTTACTTATTTTATTAGAAAATAAAATAAGTGGATAACAGCAGATTTGGCCCAGCAGATACAGATTGCAAACTGACCATCTGAGATTAGCCATTTTTCTGTGAACTATAAACCCATAACTGAACAAGCATCTAGAGCACACCAAGCATGCATAATACATGTAAGATTCATTTTCTTCTTACTGTAAATTCATTTCATTATATTTAATCTCTTCATTATCTTTATCTGCTTAACTAACAAATCAAGTTGCTAAAATTAAAAAAGAAAAAAAGAATTAATTGTTCCGGGTTTCTAGACATTTCTATAATGCAAACATAAATAATGGTAACAGAAATAACGTTGCAGATAACAGAGATGCAGATCAAGCAGTAAGGAAGTCCCATTGTGTCTACAGTCACATTTCAACATTGCAAAAATATCTTAAAGAAAGATTATGTTACAATAAGTTATTTTTTGTTGAAAACAGTTCTCCGGGGAACATAGTATAAAATGAAATTGGAAAGGTGAGGTTGGAATGGTGAATGAAATCAGCAGGACACTGGGGTAGCATAAAAATGCCATAACCAATTCATTATTTCATTAACTTTCTTTGGCAATAATTTAAATTTAAAAAGTGCTACCCAAGGTTACATATGGAAATCACTCCTAAATCGAAATCATATTTACTTTACATTTCAGTAAATACTCTAGTGCAAAAACATTATTAATAATATATTTCTCTCTTCACACTATTATCTCCTCATAAGCCATGGTGGATGGTGAGTGTATGTCTCTAGGATCACTATGGCTTAAAATCAAATCTGGCTTAAAACCAAATGTATGGGTTGTTGTCAAATTCTCCTCCAAGGCTTATTGCAAAGCAGCAAAAGAAGGAAGGACAGAAATTAATCCTGAATGCAGTCTAGGATAGTCTGCCAAACTATAGTCAAAAGAAGAAGACTATCTCTATACTACTCTCTTACTTTTCTTTTCCTTCCTTCCTGCCTCTAATCACCATAAACCCTATTAATTTCAGTCATCAATGCTGCTTTCTATTCTCTTGCCTCTTCTCTCTTCTATTGCAAGCGGTATTAGGGAATAGGGATGGATGAGAAATTCATTGCATTAAGATTTTTATACGTATGGTTTTTGTGCTTTCTGATATGAAAGATATTACAAAACAGAGTTGCATGTTGTAATACACCTCTTCCAGAATTTTGCAATATAATTTGCAGCGAACAGTATGGACAAAATATTATAGGAAAATCTCCAGATTTGAGGAAAAAATTCATACAAAATAGCATACAGAAGTATTTGTGAATATTTATGAGGGTTTTTGCTGCTAGCACCAATAAAGGACATGTAAGTAACAAAATGAGTTTTTTTTTCAAAAATGTGAAAGCAATTGAACATTTTATAGAAGCATTAATGTCTAATAAAATTGCTATAGAATTTAAGCAGCAGCAACTGAGGAGAGGGTCAAAAGGCTAACCAAAATCATCAAGCTGGTTGTCCACTCCACTAGCTATAGGTTGGTGCATATGCTTGTACTTTATTCATTGTCCATTCATTTTCTTACATCTGGTGCCAGTGTAGAAAATAATATTAGTATTATTTCTCCTTAAAATATATTTTATAGTCTAGCATAATGGAAAAGGCATTAATAAAAACAACTCAAATTGTTTTTGATTCATTTATGGGTCCAAGTTTATACAAAAGGCTAACTATAATCAATCACAAAAGAAATGGAACTTATCAAAATATGGGTAATTGAATGCATATAGCTATTTCCTTTTAAGTGAAATCAGAAAGACAGTATAACAAAACATGGAAGTTAAAGGGGAAATTACCTGAGATATGTGTGCATGGTAAATTATCTATCAAACTATTCTTCCATAGTTGTTTAAGCTTAGCTAAAGCTCCAGCTGACTTTCTGAGTAAAATGAAAACTACTCAATTAAAAATTTACAGATTGTCAAAGGAGCAGAACAAAGATTAGATGAAAAGCCTTTTTTCATAACAATATTTCAAACCTTCTGCTAAGTTTCTTCCTGAAGGTGGAATGCATTTATTTAATTATTTGCTAGAGTGTGAGTTTCTGGTGCCCTCTTCTGGCTATCAAAATTTATTGGCATCTCCAGGTTAAGAAAAATGCCCTAAATATGCAGGCAGCAATTCAATAACGAGCCTCTGTAGACCTCATAAAATACAAGTAAGGAAAAGGGAAGGGAAGATGGACCACAATAGCAGAGCAGAACACTGACTGACAGTCTTAATCTCTGGTTTGCCGCTCTCTACTGTATTGTATTTTATCACAAGAACTAAAATACTATTTTCTATCTAACTACATCTTCAATTGTAGCTGCCCCAAAAGAGAAGGTTTGATAAGATGATTAAGGTGTCAGACAAGGGGCTCATCTAGACGGCTTCTCTGGCCTATATTAGAGTGGTTATTTATTTGAGTATATCCACAGGATGGGCAGGATGATAAAAACTGGCATCGTGCCATCGTGTCACACACATATGAAGGGGGAAAGAGAGATGATATGATCCTGCTTTCATGATTTTGATAAAAACCACAAGATCCTACAGACACCTGTGTCCATGTCAGGACCTCTATCAATATACTGATGTTTTCCATCAGGGAGCAGAACAGAATTTTCCATATCACATGGAGGAAGAACTTGAAGGCTGTCTCTTATCTGCAGGCCCACTGTAGGATTAATTCCTCCTATATGACTTCTGTTTCCATGGCTATGTCTGTTCTGGCTGCTAGAAAGATCAGAACTCCCCTGTAACCATAGGTGTTTTCCTGGGCTCGGGCAAATATCAAACTCATGAAATCCTTTCTACAAATCTACAACTCCTACTGGTCAACGCAAAGCTCCATTTCTCACCCCCCTTGGCAAAGCTGCAACTACTCTCAGGATAGCATGGAGTGGAGAAAGAGGAAGAGATTTTTTTTGCCTTCTCTGACACTTACCTCTCCTCCCTGCTCCCTATCCTCTCCCCTGGCCACAATAGATTCTTTATATTCCCTGCTCCTCTCTCATGCGCCACACCTTCTCTCTGTTCACCAATGGCTCATGAATCAATATTTACTAGGCTAATCCAATTGTCTGGATTACCATATGACACTGAATCATTAATTAACATTATGGTCTGGGTTTGTCAACACAGTAAGCTAAAATGCAAACGACTAGTTGAATGTTATATGAAGTCAATTTATGCCATCAGTTTTTAAGCCTTCATCAAGCCTTTTATCTTACATCTTTATCACACCTGGTTTTGAGATATGATTCAAAAATTAGGACCTTAATGGTTGGGAATGAAGGTACATGAAAGAGGTCACATATTCTTACCTAAATTTTAAATCTTCTCCAAATTCATGTGAGGCAAGGAGTGACTAGAATTTCCATACTGATGGTGGACTAGAACATGTCTCCAGCACTTTTACCACTATGCTACATATCAACGGGTGATGTTATATTTTGGAAACGTATTCAACCGTTTTTTAAAATCAATTTTTGCTGTGACTTAGTAATCTTGTATAACATATTGCATAGTAAACAAATACATAAGAGAGCCAGTTTGGTGTAGTGCTCAAAGGCAAAAGGCTAGGAACAGCTGGGTGACTCTTAGTCCTATGAAGATAGCAATGGCAAGCCACTTCTGAAAATGCTGCCAAGAAAACTGCATGGATTTGTCTAAGCAGTCAGCAGGAATAAAGGCAGATTTGAAGGCACCACATAAAATAAAAGAGAGATTGAATTATAACTATAACTAAGACTTGAAATTCTGGAGAGCTCAAATACAATACACTTCGTGAATCTCTCTTGAATAATGAATTTATCTTTTTTGGCAGTGCCAAAGCTGCCCTCTCACTTATCCTGTCCTTTTGGATTCAATTTGACACAACATCTAAAGGAGAAGTCAAGGGAAGTAAAGGACAGGATGCTATGGGTCAACAGTGGATGCTAACTGGAGCATACACTTTGATAAATGCCTGACCATACTGATATTCATTCATACTCACTCTAAAGAAGATAAGCATTATTGGAAACATAAATATGGAATAGCATCAAGATGAAGACTAAATCAAGAATGGAATCCAAAATAGTGTGTAGAGAAGGCAGTGGAGTAATCCAAATAGGAGGAGAGACTGGAGCAGCAATTCAACCAGTCCATTCAGCAACAGCCATGTTGCATTCTCATGACCATCCTTAGTACACCAGTTAACCATTTAAAAAAGGGGAAGGCAAGAATACAGTATGCAGAAATGTTTGCTTACCAGCACTTTCATAGAAACAATTATCTGACAGAGTAATACAACATAACATACCTGGCTGTCTTTAAAAGGAAGTTTAATAGACTCACCTATCAAAAGCTTTTAAGTTCTTCTCCATGTTCACAATATTACGCATTTTAAAGATGAACCATTTATCAATGTCTGTAAGTCTATGGATATCATCTACAGGGAAGTTTTCATTCAAGGCCTACCAGAAAGGGAAATTGATTAGTCATGGTTTCATGAATTCACTGACTTATTCCTGCATTGAATGAAAATATTTAGTAGCTATTTATCTAGCTCTTTCTCAATCTAACTTTCACCAATAGTTTATAAATATTGACTGCTTTTTAACTGTAATCCATATTATTTGTTAATTTAACTAGTTTAATTCTGATTTTATTTTATTTTTTCTGTAAAAAAACCCTTCATGCTTAATTTAGTTTAGTTTAGTTTAGTTTTATTAAATTTATACCCCGCCCTTCTCCCGGAGGACTCAGGGCGGCTTACAGCCAGTTTAAAAACAATAATACAATACAATACAAAATTTAAAAGTGATTTAAAAATAAATATTTAACTAGGCCGCTTCTACTAAAAATTTTGTTAAAACCAATTTAAAATACCCCTAGGCCAGTCCTGCCCGCTGAAATAA